TGTATTATTTGGGCACAGTATATACACAATATATAAACAATAACAGCCTAGCTGTTCTGTCTGCCCAGCGCTTCCACCGGGCCGCGCACGGGTGTGTGTGTGTTTGTGTGTGTGTCCATACCTGGTCCATACCAGACACACTGCCAGTCTCCGTTCAGAATCGATTGGTTCACGGAAATTGGTGGTCTTGTTTTTAATATGTGGCTCCAGAATCGCTAGCAAAGCATCAAACTGTCCCACTGACATTCTGAGGTAAATTTTAAATCGCTCAGGATAAATTCGTAACTCCTTGATAAGGTGGAACTCTCCTTTCTCTCGGCGCAATTTCAGGATTGGATGGACGTAATATTTTCTCTTTCTTCTCTTTTTTTAATAAGAGAGAGGGCAAAAATCATCCTCACTGCTTGACGAATCCATTTGGTATTTTTGCGTTTTTTCCCGCAAAGGTTTAATAAATACGCAACGGACTCGGTGTGCAAGGTTTCTATGCGTGACGAATTTTTAGGCTGACGAACACGAAAATACGCATACGAAAATTTCGTACTCAGTGTGCAATGGCCTAAATGTAGGCTAAAAAATTTGCTTCAAAATCTCAGCGCTGTCATCATCGTGTAAAGCCCGCCCCAAAGCTTCTGATTGGTGCCTCGATTTTGACGGATTGGAAATGGGCTTGAATGAGCTATTTGCCAGACTAACTTTCAGAGCAAATCTAAATTTTCCCAGGCTACGAATTTAGTATTGTTTAATGTAAACACAATAACTTGTTTTGAAAAAAAAAAAAGGAAAAGCAAAAAGCATTTTAAGTATAAAATTTTCCAGAAACTCTCTGTTGTTTTAATTATATCAATGCAGCCTGAAACTGTTGACCAGTTTGGTTGCACAGTCCTCACCAAATCTCTATTCCATGTTAACAGAATTTAAGACTCCAATATGACCCATTTTAGCAGGGAAACTCCCATAAGCATGATCAATTGTTGCTGCCACGTTTCTGTAGCTCATCTCATTATGGATTCTTATCACCGTGAGAAGTCTCCATGTGCAGTATGAGAGAGTAAGATAAGGTTGGGGTTTAAAATAATTTTAGGCCTGGCCATTGTGATAAAAAAATATAGCCTCTTCCTCTTATCTCTCAAGAGCAAGAGAGAAATCATCTGATGTAAAGGTATGTTTTTGCAGAAAGACACTAAAGAATGCTGTTTTGTTATTGGTTGAGCTGTTGAGCAGCTTGGCTGTCATTGGTTCACTCATTCCATGCTTCTCTCTTATTGGTTCACACGTCGCCATGCCCATAACGACGACTGTTAAGGATTACCAGAGAGCTGTGAGAGCCACTGTTTACATTTGTGAGATACCCTCAGGTTTCTGTTTACCTCAGATGGTATGGATCCCTGCAGTTAAGTGTCCTTTTCGTTTTTTGTGTGGTTCTCGGGCTAATATTGGGGGGGTTAGCCACAGGAAGTTAAACCACTAAAGAGTAGTAGGGAAAGGAGGGGATATGTCTCTCCTGGCCCACCATATGGTGAGTGACACTTCCTATTAGGACAAAATGAAGAGTGTGATCATCAAATGATGGGCACAAAAAAGGATTGATGGCTTTAATGACTTCAAGGCTCAAGGAGGGAAATAACAACAGTTTAAAGGGGGAAAGACTCATTATAAAAAAAAGAGTAACACTAACATACATAAAACACGATAATATAGCTAGCATTGTGCCCCTGATAGAAATGTTTTGTAGATTTAAATTTTCTGAAATATGCTATATTTTTAAGGATTTTACCATTTTTACATTTTCTAGAGTTATATCAATGTTTCATCAGATTTATACACATACGACACAGTATGACTCTGAATTGACAGTAGTTGTATCGACTTTTAAAGCTGTCTCTTATATATAGTTATACAAGTTATAACTTATATGAACTATATATAGTTCATATAAGTTATTTTAATTAATATGGACTTTATTCAGAATTGTGGCAGACTGTTCTCATGAAATGGCGTATCTATGACAAGCCAATTCGTATTTCCATTTTTGGCATGCTATCAACGTGCATAATCGCTTTTCAGTGTGTTCATGAACACCGTTGACTTAGCATTACATTACTGTATATATAAATATATGACCTACCCCAACCCCGTCCCTAAACATACCCGTAACTGAGGTTAATAGCATTTATGAGTGTTCCCCGACCATCCTAGTAAAAAAAATATTTTGCACCACAGATGTAGATCTACATTTTGCTTCATTTCGCTCGGACATTTAACGGCGTGTACATACACGCGGAATCACTCGGACATTTAACGGCGTGACATACACGCGGATAGCTCAAAATGCGTTTTTAGACAACACGCCACTTGACTTGAAAGTGGCTTGTATGTTTACGCAAAAGTCATGGTGTCATGTTGGTTGTGGTTATATTTAATTTAACCCTTAAAAGCATGAATGTTTCACCAATCATTATTACACATTCGGGTCTTTTTTAGCTACCCGGGTCTATATCTAACACGGATGGATCTCTACCCGTCGCGATAATATATAACTCTCCTGATTAGAGTAACAATTACAGAAGAATAAAATAAAGCATATTTTGTTACCTTTTGGAGCTCAGAAGGGTTCAGTTTAAGCAGATGTTACCAATACCATTCCATCACTGTCCTTGTCAGATCTCATTTCCCAGTACATTCAGCATCTAGTTCATATTCGCAATCTCAAACACATTCTCAAAACTATCATTTTCAGCTTCTTCAAAATCATTATTTTGATCGCTGACAACTTCTTCGCCAGATCCACCATCAAGTTACAGTGACACTAATATTGGATTGCGTTTATTGCGTTTAGTACTTGCTCTGCAGTAAATCACTGAGTTATTTCCAGTTTTGCTGATGATACTTCCTAATCTTTTGTTTTCTGCCTGCGATAACTATGAGTGAAACGCCACTTCATCATTGTGTATCAGACATTGCCACCTTGTAGAGTTAAGGTGAATTGCACTTATTCATTCATCAAAGATTCAATTATTGTTGTGCAGTGTTGTGCAAGTTACTTCCAAACTGTAATACATTAGGTATTACTTGTTACTGTTATTTAAAAGTAATTCATTACCTTACAATATTACTGTCCCAGAATTGTAATGCGTTACATTACTCATGTATTACTTTTGAGTTACTTTCACCAAAATAACTAAGTAGAACTTAACTTTTGGGCTGTAACGATATGCAATATGAAACCGAAATCGCGATTCGCCACACGACTCAGATCAACGAACCTACAGAATCGCGACACACTTCTTCCAACTCCAGTGTTATTCTCCTTACCGTCCAGATCCAATGCCGCCTTATCTTTAAATTAGGCTATTAGTATTATTTGAAGTTAACATTATAAAATACGTAGACCTACACCACCAGTGTTGGGAGTAACGCATTACAAAAGTAATACATTACAGTAACATATTACTTTTTGCTGTAACGCAGTAGTGTAAGGCATTACTAATCAATTTTCAGTAATATTTTACTCGTTACATGTTCAGTGAGGCTTGTATTACAGTTGTATTACAGTGTATTGTCTGTTTTGTTTTGTGGTGTAGGTCTACGTATTTTATAATGTTAACTTCAAATAATACTAATAGCCTAATTTAAAGATAAGGCAGCAGTGGATATGGACGGTAAGGAGAATAACGCTGGAGTTGGAAGAGGTGTGTCGCGATTCTGTAGGTTCGTTGATCTGAGTCGTGTGGCGAATCGCAAAAAGTAATATGTTACTGTAATGTATTACTTTTGTAATGCGTTACTCCCAACACTGTTGTTGTGTAAAAATATACTCGGGTTGTTTTACAAAAAAAAAAATTATAGAAAAGAGTTATTCTTTTATAATTGTGTTCTTTTTTCTTGTTATATTGTTTGCAATGAATTGATTGAGGAATACTAATAAGGTTAATGTCTAACTTTAATCCCCCAAAACATTATTTTCAACGTTTCATCAACTTGATAAAATGCCACCCAGCTGGCATTCGACTGACATTAAACGTTTAAATGTTGTTGAAATAATGTCAGTTTATGAAAAAACATAATTTCAACGTCAAAACAACGTTGAACACCAAATAGTTGGTATGGATTCAACATATAAATATCAAACATTTTTGAGGTGCACGTCAAATCAACATTATTTTCAAGCTTAAAATTCAACGGTTTTCCAACTGCGTTGATTCAACAGGGACTCGACGTTAAAATGCCAGCTGGGCAGTCTGGATGCCGCCAGTATTTTTCCTCTCTGATTTTTAAAGTATAAGTCAAACCACAATTCATAACCTAATAAATATTAATGAGCTAGGTTATTTTGTGACATTGCCACAAAACAAAGTGATACCTATGATGTGAAGCAATATTTGTTATTTTCTTTCCACCAATTCTCTCTCTTTCCCTCCCTCTCTTCACACCTTCAGTCTATGACTACATATTGCAAAATTTTAAGTGAAGGTCTGTCAGGATGATGCTAACAGGACATCACTGAGGTGCAACTTCCTGCCCCAATCTGCTAATGAGCAGCAAGCCTTGCCAAGATCGTGCTCTGTCAGGTGCGGTGACAAGTAATATTAGTTTTCTTGCCTATAATTAAATCTAAAGTGGCCCAGTAGTCTAGGGCATAATTGGACGCTTGGTTTGCGAGTTATCAGAACCAAAGTTCATCATAACAAACACGTCTGGATGGGTAAGTTTAATTCCCTCTGCTGTACGGCTGTGCCCTGCGTGAACACATTTTCACAATTAATTTCCTAAGGGTGACAGGGTGACAAACACGTTGCGTCCCAACGTTCACATATTTTTGGCCAGAATAAGCTCTTTCGTGGGCATATTTTGTGGTTAGGTTTTGCAAAAACTAGATGCAACGGTTCTGAGGGAATCCAAACCACATAATTTCCGATCTCAGTTTAGTTTTCTGTTAATCTGATGAAGATGGATGGACGCCTTCATCTTCAAAGTGTCTCTCTTGTATTGCTTTTTAGGGGCACATCTTTATCTGCAAGGCTAATGTCTTCTTGAAGTTCATGGATCCTCCTGAGGTACAGACAGCAGAGGAGAGATGACTCGATGTGTTGAATATCTGATGCCTTCCTCTTTTCCCGCTGTGGCCATTACTCACCTCCTCGGAGATGATTGCAGAAGCCACAACAGACGCAAAAGAGACTGACACAGAGACGCTGTGTGAGTTACATCTCAAAAATACACACATTATGAATGATTACTTTAACAGGAGGGATCATAGCGCTCACTCTCCGTCTCTGTTTTGTTCCTTCCTTTGAGCCTTTTGTGTCTTGTGTGTGTCTGTAAAAGTAGAAAGGAAATCATTCAAGTGAGGACAGAAGCAAAACTGTGAAAAGTTAAGCAAGAACGGAAATTACTGCAACTTTAAAGTCAACTTGAAATTGGCTCAATTTACTTTAATGCACATTATTCCAAAGAAAAACATATTTGATGCTTCAAATTGGACTTGCTTTGCCTCTGAAACGTTTTTTTGCTTCTATGCTGACATCAATTCTGCCCCTTCCCACTTCAACATGTTTTACCATTCAATCAATTCTCAACAAATTTTAGTGTAAGAGTGTAAGTAAGAGTGTATTACACTATACCTGAAATATTATTCTCATCCATGTTAAGATTTTTAAATTGTGCTTTGAAGTGTCGCACGAGGTTTGATGCCGGTTATTTGCAGTGAATAACATCCTAAATATTTTTGCCTTTTAGGAACTTGACAGTAATATTCTTCAGAATGACTCGTTTTATGTTCCATGGTAAAATTATAACAGCAAATGGGTTTGTAATGAAGTGAGGGTGAGTAAATGATGGCAGATTTCATTTTTGTATGAGCTACCTTTAATTGGCATGAAAATGGTTACTAAAAATATGCTTAATTTTCTTTTGTTCTTTTTGATTTCAGGATGATTTGTGACCTGGGTTTGTTTTTGTGAGATTCACAACTTCATTAATGGGTTTCGATCAGAACTGTGTTTCCTATAAAATGAGAAGAAAAAAAATCAAAGGCAACAAAATGTATTTGTACTCATTACAACCATCTCGCTGTGAAAGACCAGCGCTGATCCCTGAGATGTCAATTATGATCATCTCCCTTTCATAATGCACAAAAAACATGAGTCAGGGATTACAAGGAAGTCAAAAAAAGCGAGAGAGCGCCGACTATATGGCCTCTAAAGACTGCAGAGGTTTTAGGATGTATAATAAGCTGTGTCCCTCGCCATGGCTTTAATTGGCTCAGTTTCTCTTTTGTGTCAGATATCACAATACCATGAATTAAGGGCTGCTTTATTACCGCCTGCATCTCCGCCGCACGAGCTCTCCCTGACTAATTGAAAAGTGGTGGAACAAGGAAAGCAATTTACTCACCTAGAAATTACTTTTCATGATAACAATGCCATTTTTCAAAGCCAGGCGCTCCCATCCAGTCCTACTTCTTAAGAGTGAACCATTATTTGTGTTGGAGGGAAGAGAAAGCCTATTTGCATTACATTACAAGTCCAATTGGCACCCGGCAATGAGGAAGAGTATGGAGGGAAGAAAGTGAGAGATACATATTTCACACTGTCTTGGAAAAATCTTGCACTTTGTGCTTAAGTTGCGCTGATACTGTGTTATTGGGGGGGAAAAAACACTACATATAAATCATTTTTAATTTGATTTTTTTTTGTGTGTGTGTGTGCTACTTCTATTTATATGCAGAAGAATGGGAAAGGCAGGACTTAGAAATGTTGCAAGCCAAATTTAGTCACATTAGCCAAATGCGCACCCCAAAAGGTAACGCAATAACTCACTGTCATATTTTTTTAAATATTTTATTTATGCTTTCCTGCCATTGACAGAATTTTCAGACAACTGTTAAACGGTATAGGGAGCGCTATTATGCATCTTCTGAAATAGTTCATAATCTTCTGATCCAAAAACTAATGAAGAAGAAGCAGAAACAAGCGATAGAAGATCTTTGTAAGCTATAATGCCATCATCAAACATTAAACAGCATCAAAACTGCCTAATTTTACCGAATTTTTACCGGTTTTCTGTTTGAAAATGGGAAGTATGTCAAACCTGAGAAAGCAGGGTAGGTCAAGCCTGTTTCTGAAAGAGAGATAACTTATACCAGAGATTATTTATATAGAGACATGCCACTTCCTCAATCCTTAATACAGCTATATAGGGAAAACCCGTAACACCAAAGATGGCAGTTGTATGCACATGCCGCACCCCTCCAGCAGGAAAGCCAATCGTCTGCTTTTAACAGTCAAGCTGGGAAACATTTAAGCCTATTGTCCGGTTCCACCAACGCATGCGCACAGTTGAGGTTTGCGACAGCGGAAACTATGTTAATGTTTGAAAAGGCGGCAGATTTGATGCAGTGTATGTGTTAGTTGTGTAAATATAAGACATCCCAAGTTTCCCGGAAGTTCCGTGAGTCTCCCGCAGATTGATAGCAGCTCCCTGATGACCGCAAATTAGTTCAAATCTGCCGGAATCTAGAGCAAATGAGCAGTAGCGCCCATGACAGAGAGCGAATGAACCCTTGCACATGCATAGTAAAAGTTTAACCTGTGGGGGAAAAGGCGTTTTAAACCTTATTTTGGGGCAAAGTCGAACTTTTTCAGCGATGATTTTTTTTTTTAATCATATTTTTCTGCTGTTTCTATACAGTTTCTATACTGACACTGGCTGGTAACTTTAAAAAAAAAAAAAAAAACAACAACACTGATGCGGAAAGAGTTAATAGTTGTCCAATAAAGCATAAGTATATGCAAATGCTATCCCTGTTGATCAGTGTGCAGTGACAGCACAAAACATCATGCATTTAATTTAGCTGCAAAAATTTGTGACAAATATCAAAAAAATGTTTTACATAGGCTATGTGTTTACAATCAAATTAATGTATGAATTAATTTTTTAACTTTTCAAAATCATGAAACATTTTTGAGTTTCTAAAAAAAAAAACAGTTAAATAAACCAACGGGTTTCGTCGCTTTTTTTAAGTTGTGTTAAATATTTATTTTGCTATAAATGTAAAAAAATATTGTAAAATAAACATTTAACACTTAACTTAAAGTGAGGAAACCCTTTGCCTTAAAATATTAAATAACAAACTTCATGTGCAACTGAAAAAAATAAGTTGCCTGACAATTCCTTGTCAAATGACTTTTTTCAATCACGTATGAAGTTTGTTTATTTCATTTTAATGCAACAGGTTTCCTGACTTTTTTAAGTTAAGTCAGTTGATCACTTTTTACAGTGTAGCAGTCGGGCAATCTGTTTTGAGCTTGTGGTTTTACAAATGTGTTTTTGTGGAGCATGCATCAGACTGTGGGCTCAGGTTAAGACATGGAAAACTATTAAAAAAAGGAAATATATTCATTCAAGGTACAACATGTTGTCTTAATCCAAATCAACAAATGCCTATGAGATCTATAATCACTTCAAAACATGGGTTTAAAAAATATTTACAGTATTGTAGTCATCACTTACAATGCTTTGTGTCATTAAGATCAGACAGGTCAGCGAGTGAAAGGAATTAATTCATGAATATATTAGTCTGTTTGAGCTCATTGGAGTGATGAGATGCTAATTTATGACAAGTGAAGGTTTATTTATAGTCCAAGACTGGTGTAAGCACATCTCTTTAGACTTCTAAGTGAAGGATAGGGATCTTATATCATCTATTTGCAAGCAATAAGAGTCTGATTGTCTGTAGCAAAACCCTGGACTCATGGCCCATTCTGGTACTTAAACATTAAGACCCCACCGTGGAACTGTTTGCTCGGAGAACTCTAGTTTAATTTCTTTAACGTGGACGCGAGAGGAATTGAATCCGTCTGACGTAGACTCAAGAGGGAAATAAAGAAAATAATTGGCTTTTTGGTTTCCAAACAAGAAGCACAACTTCAGCTGAGCAAGACAAATCCAACCTATCCCAGAGCTCATGGGACAGTGGACTAGACTGTTATAGCCAGAAGTTTATTCTCAAACCGAAGACACAATGTAAGTAAAGCACGTTTGATATTGCTTTTTTTTTTAAAATACCATCTACTCAATCCCACTTTTTCTGTACATTTCAGGTCTGATAACTTCATAAAAGTGTGATTACATTGCATTTTCCACAGAAGGAAAAGGAGCTTCAAAGGTCACTAGAGGTTGAGTGAGTACATGTGCATTTCCCCTTAGCGTTCCCCGTTGGATCGCTACACAAATATTGAACTTCACAAACTTTTCTGGCTTTCTAGTCTTGAAACAAATTAAACCTTCAGCACTCAATGGAAGGTCATGAACTTCAAGTTCTCTAAGGTTTAGCAAGGTTCTTGTACAATGTTACTTGTCCTATCTGTCCATATTTTGGTCAGATTCGTCACCTTTGCCAAACCACTCAATGATAGAATGACGCACAAGTCTAGTATACTCAGGGATGCATAGAAAATATTGCTGCTGAGGTGGCCTTCTACAAGACTGCCTCAAAAACTATTTTTTGCTTTCGCTCCATTGGTTTTGATTGAGGTGGCGCAGTGTCCATCCCTTAATCAAACACAATCATGGCATTCGGGATTATTTGAAATAACCAGCAGGTGTAATGGAGTAGGGAAATTAAGTCTGCAGGAAGGCAACCATCCAGGTCCTAGGTTGGCTACCCCTAATCTTATGCATATTTCACTCAAAAATGAAATGAAAATCACGATCAGATCTATCTCACAGTCAATTACAATTCCAGAGAGTTTGAAATTTTAATCACAACGTGTTTGCCCGCGTTCTCCACCAATTTCTCTGGTGTTGTATAGCGATTTACAGGGACTGTCGAGACATATTTTTTAAAAGATACTCTACATCAGTCTATTGTTGTGTTATCATCTATTTCAGATAGCAAACAATTAGCATGTAATTTCTCTAAACCAAACATAAGTAGATGTTTCTTGGCCTAGAATAAGCCCCAAAAGTGATTTTTGCTAAAAGTTAAAAGACTTATGTGAGACTATGGTGTTAGGTGATGTCCACTTCTTGAGTATTTCTTGGCAGTTTGTTTCTGTGTAGATTATGGGAGTGTGTTAATTCATTGTGGGCATTGTTATGTGTTTGTGCCAGCATGCACAGGTGTTTTGGCTATATGGGTCTTAAATGTTGCCAGAAACGAATTACATGAAGCCCTGCATCTATGAATCTAGACAGATCACTCTTACACATGAATTTTTTTAAACCTTTTCCAACGCACCATTAAGCCTTGGCAAAGAGACTGAAAGGTAATTGCCACTCATTACACGCAAAATCCCAAATAACACACTTTCAGTTGATTGAAAGTGAAGTGGCAGAATATGAAAGTTGTGTTTTATCGCAAATGGCTTTACTGCCATGGAGATTCACTTGTACATGAAAGTTTTAAAGCAAAATATCCAAAATCATAAGCTATTAGATCGATTCCAGTAACAGCCAATTTGTTTTGTTAATTGTGTTAAAAACGTTTTTATATTTTCTGTCAGTTTTTACAGTAATGTCAACATTTACAGTGTCGATCGTAACTCCAATGTATATGTAAATCTTTGGATTTATTCATTTATATGAATAGATGGGGAACAAGTCATTCTTGTCTGATAAATGTAATATCAGTCCAGATTCAGAACTCAAAGACTCGAATTGGAGCGAAATTCCCGAGGTATCTTGCTTTGTTCCCTCTTTTTTTACTGCTACAGTGGCTGAGCATTGGTCTGTGTCCAGAACAACATGCCGTTTTAACCTCCCTACATGAAAGTATTGAAGCACACAGCTTACTGTAGCGTCCATATTTATGAACCTGCCAATGAAAGAAGAAATTTGAGTGTCCACTGGGTTTTCGGTTAACCCATGGGTTTTCGGTATACTATGTTGGTTATGTATCTGTGCCCACCAACCGTAACAAACAGGAAACATATTTATTAGAACAGGGACAGAAATACAGCCCGACAGTTACAGCTCAAAAAGCATAAACATACAGTAAGTGAAGAAAACACACACACATATTAGCAATTTCAAATCTGTTGCCATCAATTAAATTATCACATTAGACTAATTTTTCTTTACTACAGCAGCTAAATTGTGATGGGTTTTGTGTTTTTTAAGAAATCCAAGATCTGTATATGTGTGTGTGAGAGAAATGGCGGAGTGATGATTTGGTAGGAATACTGAGGCCTTGGGGCATATTTCTGTTTGTGTTTGTGTGTGTGTATTTCTGCATGATTTGTATGTAATATAATGAAGCCTGAGTTCACACTTGGGCACAGATATCTCCTGGGACAGACAGCGAATGGCTAAAGTCAAAGTTCAGAGCTCGAGTTAGAATGCCCAAACACACAAGTTTTGATGTCTTATTTATGATGCTGTCATTATCAAGGGACTATATAAAGCTTGAGCAGGCTGAGAATGTGATTTTGTGTTGAAGTTCAGGTTACTCACACATATTTGTCTAAATTAATATATACACTCACCTAAAGGATTATTAGGAACACCTGTTCAATTTCTCATTTATGCAATTATCTAATCAACCAATCACATGTCAGTTGCTTCAATGCATTTAGGGGTGTGGTCCTAGTCAAGGCAATCTCCTGAACTCCAAACTGAATGTCAGAATGGGAAGGAAAGGTGATTTAAGCAATTTTGAGCGTGGCATGGTTGTTGGTGCCAGACGGGCCGCTCTGAGTATTTCACGATCTGCTCAGTTACTGGGATTTTCACGCACAACCATTTCTAGGGTTTACAAAGAATGGTGTGAAAAGGGAAAAACATCCAGTATGCGGCAGTCCTGTGGGCGAAAATGCCTTGATGATGCTAGAGGTCAGAGGAGAATGGGCCGACTGATTCAAGCTGATAGAAGAGCAACTTTGCCTGTAATAACCACTCGTTACAACCGAGGTATGCAGCAAAGCATTTCTGAAGCCACAACACACACAACCTTGAGGCGGATGGGCTACAACAGCAGAAGACCCCACTGGGTACCACTCATCTCCACTTCAAACAGGAAAAACAGCCTACAATTTGCAAGAGCTCATAATTCAGATGGTAGAGTCAGAATTTGGCGTAAACAGAATGAGAACATGGACCCATCATGCCTTGTTACCACTGTGCAGGCTGGTGGTGGTGGTGTAATGGTGTGGGGGATGTTTTCTTGGCACACGTTAGGCTTCTTAGGGCCAATTGGACATCGTTGAAATGCCACGGATTTCTTTAATGCCATGCCATCTCATGGACCCTGGATGTGCCTCCCTCAAATCTCCATCAACTGCAAGATGCTATCCAATCAATATGGGCCAACATTTCTAAAGAATGCTTTCAGCACCTTGTTGAATCAATGCCACGTAGAATTAAAGCAGTTCTGAAGGCGAAAGGGGGTCAAACACAGTTAATATGGTGCTCCCAATAATCCTTGAGGTGAGTGTATACATACACATACGTGTGAGTAGTTAAATTATTCTGTTTCTACTAAATCTTTTATTTACATTTTATTTATTATGCTTATTAAGTCAGCACTTAAAGTCTGATCTGGCTTTAGACATGTCTGAAATGTCTTTATACTATTTAGCCACTTTTTTCTTTGTCTTTTGATTTCTTTTTCTT